TTTTAGTATAGATAGTATTTATTTACCTCATGATATGCTGCAAAACCTAATTAATCACGAATTTCAAATTTTATATACTCTTGTCTCCTATATATTATATATTATATTATACCTCCTAAGCATCCTTAAAGAGGATTTATTTACAATAGCTATAAATGTTTCGTCAACACGGAAACTTCATTAGATGATGGAATACAATTTTTTTAAACGAGTTAGTGCTTTTTATTTTAATCTTTGTTACACTTATGTTTCATATAAAATTGTGGTAAATTTCTACAAGCCCCTGTTTCATTCTCAGCAGTTTTAAAAATAAATACCCACATTTTCGTAAAATATGGAAACTACGAAGGTAAGTATACCTTCGAGCCCCCTTTAATTAAGTAAGTAGGTAGTCCTTTTTAAGGATATATCACGTTGTTCAGAAACATAAAACGAATGGGGGACCATAACCTGCCCCTACCACAATTTTTAATATAAATCATTACTGTTTTCAAAACAGTTTCTAACTACAACAGAAGAAGTGACCTTTTAAGGGTCACGTATTTATTCCTTATAAGGTATTATTTTTTTAAAAATTAATTTTTGAAGGCCGTTTTTACGTATTTAACAATGCATAAATAAAAATTAGTTTCAGTTTGTTTATTTTATGTACTATAAAACTTACCTGAAAATGAGTTGCACCAAAAATTTAGGCACCTGTTAACGGAAACAGCAATATTGAAATGTTATCATTTTCTAAACTCAACATTAATGCAAACATTGATATCTTGATCTTTTATTATGTATAATAAATAGGTAATATTGCACTAGTATATTAACCTGATAAGAAACAGATATTAACTAAATACGCACGTTTAATAGTATGTTAAGACTAACATTTTACGTAAATACACAATAAAAAAATAATTTGCATTGTTAACACAAAAGCGCAGATACAATTGTAGTTTGTTATTAACAAGAAGAATTACTCATATCTATTGATTTTACTTTATTTTTAAGGTAAAATAACAACCAAGCGGGACGTTTTTGCAACCTATAATATTTACAATAATAATCGTTAAATTATGTGCAAAAAATATGTAAACATGACAAGAAATTGTAGTTTATCCTACAATACAACTTTAGTCACTTTTACTAATTTTAAACACCATAATTACAATACAATGACAAAAACGTTTACAAATATATAAATTAGAATTACTAAATTTACGTGATACTCCAGTTCTTCTCGAATCTTCAATTTCGGTGCTGTGTGAACAGTGGTGTCATACTGTAATCTTGTTAGTAAAAAAAAATTATAAAATAAAATGGATAGCTATCTGGTAAGTTAGTCATATTTAAACAATTAGTACAAAACCTTTTATGAAAATACATATTGTATTATGATGAAAAGGGTTTGATTTATGAATCAACAACATCTCGATTACATCCGGAACTACGCGGAGACTCGAAAAAAATTTATTCCTTGAAGTTTGTATTTGGAGACACATTTTATACCACGTTCTACATTTCATGTATTGCATTGATACTTGACGAAGGCATAATAAACTGGCGAAACGTATCTATCGAACCTTGATTTTTCATTTTTAGCTATACATATTAAACTTTTACTTTTATATATACATAANATACAAAAATAATTTTTAAGAGTAGGTTTTATTCGTTGAATTGGAGTTTAATTCCCTTTTAGATTTCTGAAATCGTTCACTGCTATTCCATAATCCATATCCGAAGTAGATAAAAAGACCTAATGATAAGTGATATTACATATATTCCTTGTTTATAGGTAATAACTTAAAAAGTGATAAATAAATAATCATACCGATCAATATCCAAATTGCAAATCTTATCCAAGTCATATAATCCAACTTAGTCATCAGATAAACATCGATTAAAACACTTATACCTGGAAGCCATGGTACAAAAGGAACCTAAAATTTAATTAGATACTTAATTACATTTCTACTAAGTCATTGTGGATAATTCGGTATAAACCCGTAAAAACTTCAATTTTGAATATTCAACTTTGCTAAACTTACTGCAAAATAGAGCTTCGAAGTAGATACTGGTTGACATGAGATAGAATATAAAATCAAAATAAGAACACAGACAAGAATTGCACAAATAGTTAACAACCATGGTGTACCCTTTGCTATTTCATCTTCGAATTGGCTTAAAAATCCAGAAAGAATAAAACATACAATACCTACGAAATCAAAAATTAATAACAGTTACATTTATCCTTGATTATTGTTATTTTTTCTCACAATAAACAGCAACCTCCCAGGTGACCAATTTTGATGTAAATGATGTGGCAATTGTTTGTTTCCTATTATACAAACGACAAAGAACAGTTTTTGGAGTTAATATACCATCATAGTCTTTCTTTTCTTCGGAAACACCATTATCATATCTGAAATGGTAGTTTAATAGTTAATTTATTTTAAAAACATTTTTGCTACCTACTCAAAAAATAATATGAGTAGAATATAAGTACAGTAAAATCGCGATTATTCGGATCGAATAAAACCAGGGGTATTCAAGACAAGTGAAAAAACGAATCGCAACAAAATTTTTACGGGCAGGTTTTCAAATTGGACAAGTACATTAACAATTTGCCCGTAAAATTTGAAGTAAAAATTTGGTTGCGATTCGTTTTTCCTCTTGTTCGTTGAAGTTTCACTTCTACTATGTGTACCAGCACACATTTCGTTTTCACAGATTTACTACAAATTATGATTTAGTTTTTATACAGACCGCAAATAGAGGCAATGATGCCGAGCCCGAGCCACGTGGAGAGCAGAGGTAAGAAAACAACAGCTGAGCACAGCACACGCCGCCGGGACTCTAGCGGAACCCCAAACAAAACTCAAAAACAAAATTAATCAATTTTTATTATATAATGAGTTCTACACGTCTTAACATGTCTCGTTGTGCAGTAAAAACATTTTTAATTCGGCAAATGAGTGACAAATGAGTCCGTATAATCGGCTAATGTTCGAATAATCAGGATTCTATACTGTACTGTAAATGCAAGAGGACCTTCATACCGAAAAGGTATTTATCGATTTATTCTTAATCTTACTGATAAAATTAATCTATCATTACCTCAAAATTAGCACACAAGCGGCCACCATTCCATAAGCCAATAATGTTCCAATGGACATCATTGTAAACAATTGCGACAGTTCAAAAATACAAGCCAATATTCCTATAAAGTTAATTCTCTTTAAAATAACCGTAATTGCAAGATAAAAAAGCTAACCTGTAAATGTTCCAGCAATAAGAGTTCCAAGAAAAGGTGTTTGAAATCTCGGATGCACTTTTCCCAATTTTTTAAATAGAAGACCGTCAGAAGACATAGCGTAAATTATTCTGGGAAGTGGAAACATCGCTCCCAAAAGGCTATAACAAAATATCACTGTTTAATATTTTCTTCAAATGCATCTACAAAAAGCATTTCTTTAAATACCTGGAAAATAAACCACAAAGCGCTCCCACGCTAACGAGATATTTAGCAATATCCCAACCAATGACTTCGTATATGTGAGGAAGTGGAGCATTTTCGTCCTTAAATTAGGTGTCTCTTTATGGTTGAATTATTTTGTGATTTTTAATAACAACTTTGTCTGCTATGCGTATATTTCAAAGCAGTTTTGAATAGAAATTTTCGCCAAATTTTTTTTGGTCTTTTTACTTACTTGAAGATAATAGGGTAGCATCATTGTCATAACGGTAGACATTCCAAAATAAGCAACAAATATAATTAATAGGGAAACTACAACAGAAATCGGTATCGACTTTTGGGGCGTCTTTGCCTCTTCCCCTGAAAAAGAAAGTTTCTTTTGTAAGAACAACATCTATAAATTCTTTATCATGACATTTTCTATTATTGATTAAAAGTCATGCCTTTCAAAGTACGGAAGAGATTAAAATAATAGCTTTTTATTTTGATGTTGATGAAGGAAAATTCTCAGTCTACACCTCCACCTGGTGAAAGGTGGAGACATTTTTTTGTGGCTAAGTAAATGAAGACCAACCAATTCTTCCAAAAAGCAATGGAGAAAAATAAAATGCAAAAATTGCAGTACAATTAAAAAAAATAAAGAATTTCGGTGGTACCTGCTGTGGCAATACAATCAAATCCTATAAACCCATAAAAACAAGTTGCTGCTCCCTTCAGTATACCACTTATCCCATATGGAGCGAAACCTCCATTTCCATAACCATCTGGTACACTTTCTTTTGGAATGTTCCAGTTAGATGCATCAACTGTAACATGGCTACAAGTAACTTACATTTTTAAATAAAAGCAGAAAAGTGTTGTACCTTTGAATAACCCACTTATTATCACAGAAACCACAACCACTAAATTAACTGCAGTAAAAATGTTGTTAACCAAAGAAGATTCTCTAGCTCCAAGAGCTAATGCAACTGAAACACAAAACTAATGTTTTCAAAAGGAAACATTTGATAGATGAATTGAAGAAGAAAATGTAATAGGTACTATTGACTTTTATGTTATAAAATAAAAGATAAATTAATCGATAAAGAGGTGGATAATATGCAGTAAAGAATATTAATAAAACTTATAATTAGTTTAAAGTACACAACAAACTCGAGAAATCTAAAAATATTTAAATTAGTAATATTTTTAAGAAATTTACTCATACTTGAAAAAACAATCGTAACTCCGAAAGAAAAAAAGTCTGGATAAGAAGCAATATTAGGAACATCTATGGGCATAACGGTGTGAAAAAAATCAGACATTTTATTGGAAACCAAAGCATCCATGTACGTAAAAAGCCCTTTAACAACACTAGCCGACCCTAAAAGAATATTTTAGGAGACGCTGTTCAAAACAGATAATATAGTTATACCAATAACATATTCTAGTATAAGATTCCACCCTATGATAAAAGCTACGAATTCTCCCATACATACATAACTGTAGACGTAAGCCGAACCTGCCTTTGGAACCCTAGCACCAAATTCGGCATAACACAAACCTAAAACAAATCATTTTATATTCACTTATTACTTACTCATTAGGTACCGAATAACTTCTCTCAATTATTGTTGTTAGTTTTTAAAAATAAAACTCACCAGCAAATACTGACGCAATTGCAGCAATTAAAAACGAAATTACAACAGCCGGGCCTGCATAATTTTTAGATACTTCTCCGGCTAACACATAAACTCCAACTCCCAAAGTACTTCCAATTCCTAAAGCGGTCAAGTCGAACGTAGTTAGCACGCGGGCTAATTTTGAATCTTCCGTGCCAAAACTTATTTTCTTCCTTTTAAGGGCGAAGGTAAATCGACTCCAACTCATGGGGTGAAAGTACATATTTTCTCCAAAAAGGTACCTTAAATTGGAGGCACATTTCGAATATTTCATTTTGACCTACTCTACTGAACTAAAAACTAATGCAAATACAAGTGTTTTAATGAATGCACGAATTGCATAAGTTGAGAGTGTAAAAATAGAACCAATGGGCTTTATAAAAATAGGCACGCTGTAACTTCAGACACATACAAAATTCGGTTGTAAAATAACTATTAATACACAGATTAAAAGATTTTGATCTAGCCAAAAGGTCGAAAAGCCATTGGTAGGGTTTGCTCGGAGGGAATCCACCACCAACGTGTCGTATGAACATCCGGGTGTTTCGAAGATTTTCCCTCTTCCGCGAAAAATTAAATAAAAATTATTAACAAGAGAAATAGTTAAGAAATGGTTTAGTATAAACTAGGGAAAGTCTCCTTTTTAGTTTATTTGGAAGCGGGAACATTATGGTATGAAAATAACTAAACTAAAATAAAGAAGAAAAAGTAGGGAAAGAGTGAATATAAAGATAGGAGAAGAAATATGATTAGAATACCGTGGATAGAGAATGCTATAAATTAGGAAGTATTAGATAGAATAAGAGAACAGAGATCACTGTATAGAAGTCAACAAGAAATAGGGGAGATAGTTTGGTAGGACACTTTCTCAGGCATGAAGGGCTAGTTAAAGACATATTAAACGCAAAAACAGGAGTTAAGAGGAGAAGAAGTAGACTTAGATTAGATTGCTCTTCACAAACAGTTAAGGATGTGGGATGTTATAGTTTTAGAAAAATGCAAAGATTAGCCCATGATATGAGAGAGTGGAGGTGCGTGCCCAACCAGTCTTAGGACTGACGACCTTATGATGATGATGATGAATTAAATTTCTACCCTAAATTTTCTTTCCTGGCACAAGTCTCACATTTTTGAGAAATTTTTTCCTTGTAGTTTGTATTTGGAGACACATTTTTTACCATGTTCTACATTTCATGTATTAAATTGATGCATGACGAAGGCATAATAAACTGGCGAAACGTTGTATCTGTCGAACCATGATTTTTTCCTTTTTAGCTATACATACTAAACTTTTACTTTTATATATATGGATTCTATACTGTACTGTAAATGCAAGAGGACCTTCATACCGAAAAGGTATTTATCGATTTATTCTTAATCTTACTGATAAAATTAATCTATCATTACCTCAAAATTAGCACACAAGCGGCCACCATTCCATAAGCCAATAATGTTCCAATGGACATCATTGTAAACAATTGCGACAGTTCAAAAATACAAGCCAATATTCCTATAAAGTTAATTCTCTTTAAAATAACCGTAATTGCAAGATAAAAAAGCTAACCTGTAAATGTTCCAGCAATAAGAGTTCCAAGAAAAGGTGTTTGAAATCTCGGATGCACTTTTCCCAATTTTTTAAATAGAAGACCGTCAGAAGACATAGCGTAAATTATTCTGGGAAGTGGAAACATCGCTCCCAAAAGGCTATAACAAAATATCACTGTTTAATATTTTCTTCAAATGCANATTAAGTTTTATTTCTTTTTATAATAAATCATAATTCTACGTAAAATAGAAGATATCTTTTTAAAATTTTATCTATGAGTTTATAAAACAATGCAGAGTAAATAATTATGTGAAATACTCTTCATTTGTTTTAAAAACGTTATCGTATTTTTACACTTATCATTTATCATGCATTTTTTGTATACTGTACACAAATAATAAAAAAAATCAGAAACAATTGTTCGCATTATATCATATGGTTGATAAAATTTTTACAAAAAATGGGAATATGTACATAAATCGTAAATACATATTTTGAAAAACCCGATTCTTAATTGTACTAATGTTTGCTCTAAATTTCTAGTACATACTGTCGTAAATTATGGATTTTATATTATATTTTTATGATTTTTTAGCACACCTTAACCAACGCTGAGTTCAAATACGATATCAAAAACGTATTCTACCTTTTATCAAATTTTAGGTACATAAGTAATACAAATAAAGAAATTCCAGTTGCTAATACGAACAAATAAATGTGTTAAACAAGCTGTAGAAAATTTTATCTCTTAAATTTTTAAATACTACAGTTTATAATCCTCGTGTAGAGATAAAATAGCGACAATAAGTGGATTATTAAATTATTATCGTGTACCCACTAACGCTTACTAACTTCTTCATAAATATAAATTTTAGAAAACTTATTCTATGTACGTACCAACCTTGGTAAATTTACACTGAAACTGTTTATGTTACTCATTTCAAATCCAACAAAAGTTAAGGAGTCAGCTTCTAAGATTTATCAGACACTACTATTGTACTAATACTGAGTCTGGATCTTCTAAATTCTCAATTATTGAGTTAATTGAGCGCGATTGATTGAAGTCAACGGTTTATATCGTGAGAATCGTAAATGGCCTCGAATTATTTTATTTTTCAATAAAAAGCTTTAATGAAAGAATTTGGTACATTTAAAAATAAACAGTCCCAAATTATTTTACACAACAATTAAAAAATTAGTAGTGTGAATATAACTCCCGCGCAAACCAAATATCCGTTTTGTAATGATTGGAGTATGAAAAGTTTATTGTTAATGCTAAAATTTCTTAAAAACTACAAATCTCAAAAATCTGTTATTTATTAATTGCATCTGATATTTCCTGGTATAAAAATAAAAACACCATGAGTTACATTTAAGGATGTTTGGGAGGTATGTCAAAATGCTACGAGACAAATAAAAATTTGGAAGAACGTTCCTCATTCAATTCTAAAACTCCTGTAAAAATTACAAATCGATTCACTAAACCGTTAAAAAGNCGATAAAATTCAATCTTACATACAAGCTCAGTCAAATCTAAATTTTATTGATATCTATATAGTTTATACTTATGTAACATAATTGTATTGACCATGTAATTTATGTTTGAGTTCTAGTGTCATAAATTAATGTTTTCTCAAACTTTTTCATCCGCTACTCCTTCTTTAAAAATTTTAAAGAACGGGGATGAAAAATCATGGAACCTTAAAAAATAACTTACTAAAAGCCACTATGCTCCATTTGATTATGTTGGCCGAAAATTCGTTCGGATATTTATTGTTGTTCAAATTAAACACTTGTTTAAAAACATCGAATAACACGACATCTTGTTTTTTCATTTCCAAGTCCTTTTTCAGATGAGAATAATCGGTTATTTGTTCATATCTGAAAGAAATTTAAATCTTTGTTCATCTACATAATTTAAAATACAATTGTTTGATTTTCATCTACCTTAAGACTTGTATATATTTAAATACCGATAATTTTTTATATACACTTTTCGTTATATTATATGCGCAAACATAGTTTTTGGAAAAAAGTTAAATATTTGAATGCGACAACGGGATAACTTAAAAGAATGAACGAGGTGATTTCTTCAAGACTTGAACTGGATCATGAAGGGAAGGAATGGTGTGATTTCCCCCCAAACTTAGGTTAGGATGATTTTCCCCAATATTCATTATAAACGAAGGAATGAAGCGATTTGTCTCAGGCTTAGACACGATCATAAAGGGAATAATAGGGTGATTTCTCCCAAGTTTCCGTTTAATCATAAAAGAACAATGGGGTTGTTTTCCCCAGACTTACAAGATGGATTCGATCAGAATAGCAAGAATGGTATGATTTCCTTCAGGCTTAAACTTCACTATAAATGGAGGGAAGGGGAAAAAAAGCAATTGAGTTATTTCCCACAGGAATAGGCTCGTTCATTAAGAATGAAGTAGGGTGATTTTCCCTATATTAAGGCCTACTTATAATAGAGGAATGGACTCTTTCCCCGGCTTATTTTTGCAGGAGATTCAGTAGAATTTGGTTAGCTTTTATATTGTAGTCTGTAAAGTCATAATTTGCAATTATTACATATAATCTCTATTAAAATAGAAAATTAAGCTAACCTTACACCATACGTTACATAAAAAAATTTAATGAATTAGCAATATTAATTTGAAATAATTTTTTCGATTTTTTGTTTACCCACTACAAACTATCTCAAATTAATTAGGGAAAAATTGTGACAACACCAACAATTTTTGCCTCACTAATTTGAGGTAGTTTGTAGTGGGTAAATAAAAAATCGAAAAAATTATTTCAAATTAATATTGCATATTAATCCACTATTAAGTAACTAACAATGTCATAGGATTTCATATATT